TGGCGGAAGAGACGGAGATAGATTCTTCAGGATTTCCAGTGCGCCCGCTCGCTGACGGTGGTCAGCGCACTAGAAATATTTGAAAGACGCTTAAGCTTTGCCTTTAAAGAGGCCCTGCAGTGCTATTTAAGCGTCTACCTTTTTTGCGGTTTCCAGATCTCGTGTGTTTCGGGCAACCCAGCGGGCACGGAGAGAGTAACTAAATATCAGAGCGTCATATTTTATCCAGACGACGCGGAAGTCTCCTCCCCCTACGGGGATGCCCCGTCGTACCGAACGCGCGCGGCATGTGACGACATTGTGAAGTTGTCGGTCCTGGCCAGCTCCTGCCTTACGACTGGTCAGAGCCGCTAAAAGCTTTTTTAGTCGAAATACAAAATATAAGTGGCGCGAACCGTTTCAATTATTTATAAAAGTAGTTTCTGTTCAGTGTTTTAGGTCAGAAAAGAAACGAATGTAGTTTAGAAAGTACGTAAACAAGAAATGACCCGTCGACATACCACCAAGCGATGGAAAAGGCGGTGCATACTAGAAAGGGTAGTGGGATCAGGCGCCGACGCGCGCCACAAACTGCTGTGAAGCGGCGAGCGTAGAAAGGTCCCGGATGTACGCTGCGGTCATATGGGCTGGAGGATCCGACCGGTTCCGAGCGTTCCGAAGGCCTTCGGCGAGAAGGTTTGGCTAGCGGTATGGCAGCGCGAAGTGGCTCCCGTTCTGAACTGATATTTACCCTGTGTTTGCTGTCGTTTGTGGCCAATAAAGTGCCATGCCGAATTAGTGTTTAGTCGCGCAGCAATTGCAATGCGAACCGCCCTGGCCGCCCGCTTCATCCAGCCTATCCACTACATGCTTTAGTGGCGCCCTCTCGAGCCGTCGACACTGACTGCGGCAGCCGTGACCGCTCGCTGAGCTCACTATATACCCCTCCTCTGGTTGACGGCCACCCAAGCCTGGACCAGGACGTCATGAAGGAAGCTATTTTTAATGCGAAATCATTAACTGTCCCACAGAGCGAGCCGACGTCATCAGCCGCGCCAAACGACAGGTAAATCAGCCTCTCCGCTCCAAAAGCCGATCCAAACGACAAATAAATTCACCTATCCAAGTGAAGCCGAAATCTGATGCATTGGCGTCATAGTTACAAGGAACGAGGTTCCATTGGCCGAGGCGCGTCAGTTTCAAGGAGAGCCACCCCGTGGCGCTACGTGCCCGCGCCAGGTAAAGCCGCGCCAAAGCGAGCCGAGAAAAGGAAGCGTTTGGTTGGCGCTAGAGCCACTCTATATGGCAGCGTAGCTGCCAGAGTAGCGACGCGACGCAAAATTATCGAGATGCACGACGTGAGAAGCGCTATAGTTATCTCCATTTTGGGCCTGAGAGGTTGCCATGGTAACTGTGCTTCTAGCGACGCCAGGCGGCAACCTTTGTAGTCTAGTTGATATCTCCATTCGTTCATTGAAAAGCGGTATAAGACGCTTGGCATCGCGATACGGCAAGAACCTCTGGAGGAACGGTGCCTGTTTCTTCTGAAAAGTGAGACAATTCGCAGCCCAGGGACTGTTGAGCGACGAGAGCTGCTATGGTATCGTACGTGCACGGACAAGGCGAGTGGTTTTCGGCGTCGCCGGGATGGCGGCCGCTTCGTGGGACGAAGTCAAGAAGGTAGGAGAAGCTCCTCCCACAAGTGTGATGCGCCCGTTTCAAATCTCTCCGCAGTCGAAAGAAGAGTTGACTGGAAACGCTCCTTGTTCCGCTTCAATGGATTCCCACTTGTCTCCGATCCCACTTTTTAAGAAAGCGACCTTTGTATTCATCGGAGAGGGAACCGAGCCCCTGAAAGCAGCCTTTGTATCCATCGGGGGGGAAGCTAATCCCCGAAAGTCGTATTTGTTTCTGTCGGTGGGGGAGAACTCTAATCTCCCTCTCGTGGCTTCCACAATGCTAAGTCAAAGTAAAAAGATAAAAGCAAATATGTACAGAAAGGCAAGACCCTCCTCGCGCGTTGTCCGCGACGTCACGGAAACGGTAAGACGCTATTGGATGCAAAGGTGGCGGAGGGATATCTGATTCCCTTTGAGGGGCATTTGCCGCTACCTTCTTAACCTGTAACTGACTATAGTACTTTCGGACTTCGCTCCGATGGAACAAAATCCGATTACGCCGGCCACGACAGGACGATTGGCTCGGGACATGACTGCTGCTCGACTGCCCCATAGTGAGCGAGTATATGTTTCGTATCATACTCATTCAAGACCCGATCACCCCTTCAAGATGAGATTTTCTCACCGACTGGTGAGGAGCGACGTCGACGGGGTTCAACCAAGAAGGGCGGCATGGTGGTCTCTAGGGAATTGTTGACGCCATCAAAAGAGACGGACGCCGGATATGAGGTGTTCTTGCCGACAGGCCAAACGGTTGTTCGGAAGTTTACCGGCATTCAAAAAGTCAATATTTTTATCTGGTGTAGCGCACATATCCGTGTTAAAAGGGTCACGAAATTATTTTTAAACTTCTTCTTCCTTACTTATAATCCTCAACTCAAAAGAGAACTGTGAAATCACGCAGTCGTGACCAGATGCTAGGGCACCGGTGCGATGACCCCAAGCTTTCACCGTGCTTTTTAAGCACACCGTAGAACTTGGCATTCGCAATTGATGATAAGTTTTGTCAGGACGCTCATTGACCAGGAAAGCGAATTCAAATATCCATGGACGAATTGATTGCTGACGAGCGCATACATGCGAGCGTCGCAGTTTTCGTGTACAATGCGTGAGTTGGGGTCGGCTGATGTCATTTTGGCCTTTGTAGGCATTGTAAAGAGGATATTTGGAACCAAGCACACTGACATTAAGGAGCACAAAACGGGCCCAGCTACAGAAAATAAATATTACACTCGTAACAAATAAATACGTCTGTAACTTCTTAATTACAAAGACGAACACACCTCTGAGCATCAAAGTTTAATAGTGTTGATGCATTGTTATATAGCAGGACATTTCATATACGTCACTTCAGCAAACGCCAGTTTTTCACTTGAAAAACAAACCAAAAAACGCTGCGATCAAATGCAAGCTATTGCAACGAAAGCAAGTTCTATCAAAATCTTCAGAACTGCCAATTCGTAAAATTGGCGATTAGTAAAAAAGGTTAAAGATCGCAAGAGCTTCCTCTCTAAAAATGCTGTGATTATTCGGTGACCCAGGGCTGAAACAATTTCCCCTAGGCCCTACACGCGCCGTATACCTTTCGTTATGATCCTCAGAAATTAAGACTTTCAAAGGAAGCTAAAAAATGCGAAAAGTTTATCCTAAAAGCTATGTGGAGCGCAAGTTCGTCTGCTTCTTTTTGCAGGGGTTGTGGTGACGTCACTACGCCGAGATCTGAGTGGCTCCGATTGAAGGATAGTGGGTAGACCTAAAACCAAGCTGCCTTGAGGTCTACCCCCTATCCTTCAACCAGAGCAATCAGAGATCGGCGTTCTGACGTCACCATAACCACTGCGAAAGAAGCAGACGAACTTGCGCTGCGCATATCGTAAAATCGTTGATTAGTATGCTTGGGAGTTTTGTGAATATTTATACAGCGTGTAGTTGGTCAGCCATTTCAAAGTTGCGACGAGTCACTCGCTCTAGATGAGCAATTTAGCCAATGTAGTATAACCGCTAGCCTGGGGTCTATAGGTCTTTAACGTGCACCACGCAGTAGTGATACACAACCGCAGGCCGGTACGATGCTCATCCAGGTCGAAACGGGCAGGGGTGGGGATTGAACCCAGGTTCCCTGAGTGATTAGTACAAAACGTAAACATCGCAGGAGCTTCCTCGCTAAACTTTTGTGATAATGCGGTTACCTGGGGCAAAAACAAATTCCCCAAGGCCCAACATACGACGCATAGATTTCGCATCGATTCTCAGACACTCCAACGTTCAAATAAAGCTAAGAGAATGCGAAAATTGCATGCTAAATGTCTTATCGATCCTCAAACACATCCGGAAACCCGAGCACCGCTAAGGCGATATTACTGATGCTGTCGCACAGGTGCTAATATCCAGAGCGATCTTGCACAGAAAGGGTATAAAGTATCATTCTTTCAGATCTTCACGTTATACCTACGTCAGAAAGCACGAAGAAGCCCTAAATCGTCGGCAAGCTGCGGCGCATCACGAGTCCGCGTACCGAACAAACTCGCATCCACCAGCTCTGGGCGCTGCCATCTTACCGATGACATCACGGCTCTTGAGAGGTCACGTGACGAGTCGTCACTCGGTTGCTACGGAAACCGAGCCAGCTCAGCTCGTTGCTATGGTACCGTGTGCGACTTATCGCGGTGAGAGGCGGCACGGGGAAAAGCGTGGCGCTACTCTGGCAGCTACGCTGCCATATCGAGTGGCTCTAGTTGGCGCGGGGCCTCCCAGAGAGAGCCCGTTCGAGCGTACTCCAGAGCGCGGCGCGGCCACCTCACGAGAACGTGTGCAAGAAATACATTCATGCTTTCACATTCACAACTCATAAAAAGTGCTTAGGTGAAACTCGAATCTTTTTTGCTTGTTTTTGTAATTTTAATTTGCCTATTACTTTTAAAATGAAGCGAAATCCGAGAAAAGAAAAGTTTCACTTTATAAGTTACTTCGTTCAAAGCGCTCAGGTTTGGTGCAAATTACAAACCAGTCAAAAAGTCGTTGCTGAACGCGATAGCGAAACATATAGACAAAAATTCCCGCTCGTTCCCAAGCCTCGCAAGCGTGCCTTGCGTGGCCCGAAAGGAGAAGTCGCCGTTTCGAACGGTTGTGAAAATATGCTCTCTGGTGCAAACGTCAGCCACTGGCCGAGTTATCTTTGAATCTTCAAATGCCGTCTCTAGTGAGTACAAAGTTATACTTCCACGTCTGCCAACCGGCATACCTCGCGTCCTTTGTTCCGTATTTCTCCACCCCGACATAACCGCTAGGCTTTACATGGTCTCTGACTTCCGAGACGCTCTAAAGGATGGAATCGACCTGAAAGATGTCAAAGCTACCGGACAATTTCAGGTGAGCCATCTGTGGATGGTAACACGTCAACGTTCTTGCAAAGGAAAAACTTTGCCTTCGTCGTGAACTCCTCCTGAAAGGCAAGAAGTGTCTTGTCCATAGGCGTAGACTTCGGGGGGGCATCGGGGCTCGTGCCTCCCCTGGTGAGATCCGGGGGGGGGGGGGGGAGGGAGGGAGGGAGGGAGGGAGGGGAGGGGGGGGGGGTGCAGAGCCTTCTTTGGACCCGGGCCATGATCCTTACCGAGACGGCGTTTACGTGCCATGTAACGAGCGTAGTGGCACGTAAGCAAAATAACGCCCACGTTGCCTTTATTGACAAATTACATGGGAAATGGAATCCCAGCGTGCTTTCGTAATCTCCAGTTCTGGCGAAAAGGTAACGCGCAGCACCCCCCCCCCCCCCCCCCCCCCCCCGGAAAACTTCTCAGCCTGTCCCCTCCCCCCCCCCCCCCTCCCCCTCCCCGTCCCCCGGGAAAATGGAAAGTCTACGACGCTGGTCTTGTCTTTGACTTCAACACTCGACAACTGAAGATCAAGCTCCTGTGGCTTTCAGACTACCCCGAGCACAGACACATGTCAAAGCTCTGGCGCCCTTTGGCACAAAGCGTAACATCTGCCGAGAAAAGTGGCGCTCCCTTGGTATGGAGCCCATGGACGCCCTAAACAGCGGGGTAAACCGGACCCTACACGAAGGATTACTGACAGGGAGGATTCCTCACCTACTGAAAGTGTACGAAATTCCAAACTCTCGTTTTTGTCCCCGGAAGACCTCCCTCCTTATGCACCAGATGCAACAATCTATACCTGTTTTCACCTCAAGAACCGAAGTAGAACAAGTCCGACTCCTCGCGGAGCATTACTAATTTTCTCCTTTATGTGGTTAATTAAGATGTATGGAGGTGCATTTTAGATTAGATAAATGTTATCTTATCAAGACGTACACGTTCCAAACGCCAAAAGCTTCGCTTTTTCCTTCAATGACAAATCTCGTAAGAGATACGACATTAAAGGCGCACTCAAGTACTCTTTGTAGAAGCTTGTTTTTAAGTAAAAATGACCATTTTTAGGTGGCAAGTAGTAAACTAGTAAACTCGCAGCAACATGAATACACTGGCACGCTTTCAGAAGGTGGAATCTTCCGGTCCCCGCCACGCCAATAAAAATTGACACATAAAAATTATGAACGTTACTATTGCAGTGATGTCTCGTTAATATAGACACCTCCGTTCCCCCCAAAAAAATCGCCCACAATGTGAGTTATTCATATTACCGAGACAAAGATGCATGCATTTTTCCAGTTTGTCCCCCAAGATGGTGTCCAGATAGCGGGATATCCATAAGTCCGTACTAACCAGACATGACTGCATTGCGCTTGTTAGGCTCGCTGTGCATTACATTTTGACGAATACATAAACTTCTTGGGTGACGCAATACAGCAGTGGACCCTTGTTCACATAAAGGCGACACCAAGTGGCTAACACTCCAACTACGGTTGGTGGATGGAATGGGAGCTGCGATACCCTTTCTGCCTTCTCTGCAGCTGACCCGAGCCGCGCGCAAGATGCAGAAGAGTTAGTGCAACCGTTCTTTTCCGTACGCCAACCGAAGTTCGAGCTTTCGCCGCTGCGAGAGGAAGGCTTGCACATGGGCAGAACCTAAGGCAGACCCCTTCTCAAAAAAAGTGCACTGGCCTCGTAAGTGATGACGTCATAAGACGGCGCTGTGCTTCGAACAAACCGTTGCCAGGGCCGACAAATGCATGGAGCCTTGACGTAAAATTAAAATTTGTCTGATGAAAAAAAAGTTCATAACTTTTCGTAAGCATCCTGTCGTGTCTAATCACGATGACTTTTTCTCCCAGTGCGATAAAGCGATGATAAACACCCGTTATAGAGCTGCACAACCGGTTTTGCCTTACTAGCAGACGACGCGACTACGTTAAATTAAGTTAGTGACGAGTGACGAAACCTTTATTATCAAGGTCAACTTTCTGCGGGATTTTGGAAGCGAAGGGTGCCCCCGTGCATAGCTTCGATCGACGCTCGAAGTGCACGAGCGCGCGAACGCCTGCCCGTTGAGGCTTCCGCAATGTTTGAGAAGGGTGAAAAGACTGCGAAGCCGAGTCACGCACGGCGACGACGTGGAGTGTATCAAGGTCAAAGTGTAGGCCAGCACACGTCTCGAGGAGTTCTGATGGCACAGAAGTTTACTTTAATCCACATTGGTGTGATCAGACGAACTGTCCGTAGCAGATATATTACTTACCTGGCGTTTTTATGCAGCTCTTTCGCTAGTATGGGTCCTAATGAAAACGGAAGAATCAGGATTTTTCTCAGTGTGATGTTAACAACTACAAGCAGGTCAGCAGCGGTGGAACTGCTGCGTCATTTGCGTCAAACTGCGCCAGAACGAATAACCTGCTATATGCTGCTCCAAAGGCTCTATTTGTGCACAATATGCGCCATTTCTGCGCCAAAAGAGAGCTGTTCTTGAAGGGGAATCTGAAAAGTGTCTGGCACACGTAAGGCATCGTTGGCGATGCCACTCAAAATTAAGAGAGTAGAGTTGTTGTTGTTGTTTTCGGATGCATAAGTACTATGTGCGAAGAGTAGGGCTGCGCGAATATTCGAATTATCGAATTGTAGTTTCAAATAATACGCTATTTGACATTCACTTCGAAACGAACTGCGATATTCGTACTTTTCGAAATGTTGATCACGGCGGGTTAGCCCCCTTGAGTGCGCTTCCCCTCAAGAAGCGGCGCACTGCGGAGAAGCAATACCCGCGGAGCTGGCACCGCGATCTCGCGACTCGCTTCGCCGCATCTTCAAACTGGTACGGCGCACGCGCGTGCATAATGTAATGAAAAACAAGAGGAAAAAAAAAAAAAAAAGGGGAAATGTTTGATCGTAGATATTTAAATTGCAGTAAAATTTTAAAACTTTATCTGTGGCTATTATGCAAGGGTATATGTTAGGCAGCGATGTTCTCACAACGTGTGTTCATTATTTGTGCCTTTTTTTAAATTCAGGAGTCAGAAAAAAGATAGCGGGAATATTTATAAATCCCCTTAATTAGGTATGGCCGGGCTCCTTAATAGGTTTAATTTTAGAACGAATCTGTCATTTACTTGCCATCCCAATGTAGTTATTGGACTTTTTGAGGCCACAGTCTATAAATATAGCTAGATTAAATTTAATAGAGCTCATAAGTGGACAATTAGAAGCTTGGGAACAACCTTCGCCAGTTCAACTCAAGTTTTATTTAAGCGTGGTGTAACTGTAGTGAGAGGCGTGGAGAAAAACGCAGAAACCATTCAACATTATTTAAAAAAAAAAAATATTCGGCCCAACCACTATTCACTTTGAATTTGCTTCAAACCCAACTCCATTATTTGCACCTGCCTAACGAAAAGTTACCGGTTCATGTACGAACGGTGCTCACAGCAATTTCAATGAATAGCTAGCGCTACTCGTGATCAATTAGAGTAGCTATGAGCTCCGCTTAGCTGCTCTATGAGCAGTAGCAGGTTGATGCGAGCGAGGACAGCGTGATACACATTCAACACAAAAGTGCCCGTTCGATGTCGAACTCGCGACAATTACGTCACCGTGATACAAACCCTACAAAGTAGCCTAAAAAATCTGTTTATGTCAAACACAAACCGGACACACCATCATCAGTACTCCTTATAGGTTAACTGAGACATCTTCAAAATCGTCGGCGTACGATTGTTCGATAAATAAATAAATATTTGTAGCGGCCAGGTCCCCTGGGGTACGACACTTTGAATAGTGCCCCAACACTGCACCAGCAGCAGGGTTTTCCACGGGCTAACTTTAAAAGATATCGTATAAAACTTTCTGACATCAAAGCTTAAAAGTGTGCTCCAAAAGTGGGAAGCTCTGCTCCAAAACCCGGTGTTTCCTGCTGCAAGAGCTGCTCCAAAACACCAGTTCCCAGTTCTACTACTGCAGGTGGGAAGCACACCCATATTTCGAGCCTGTCAAACAAAGGTTTCCAGGCTCGTTTTCCAGCGCACAGCTTCCAAGCCTGGAAAACGAAGCTTCCTATATATATTCGTTTCAGTTACTTAAATTCCACGTCCGATTTTTGAACTATGGTTCTTTTGGAGCGAAATCCAGACCCACGTATTCGCCCATAGCAACGCCCCTAGCAACGGTTTGTTTGGAGCAGTGGCGTCACACTGACGGCGTTAATTATTGTTGGAAAATGGTCGGGTTCTTCGGAGGCGCAATGGGGGACAGTGGTTGTATCACTGGGCCGTGTGTTAACCCCCCCCCCCCCCCCCCCCCCGCCCCCCGACCTGCGTTCACGCCGCTTCGCGGCGAAAGTATGCGGATGACTCATTAAAAAAATATTAACACGGCCGGTGGCCCAAACCCCTCTGTCCCCCATTACACCTCCGAAAAGCCATTCTCGTTTAAAAACGCCGTCTGACGGCGCCGCCTAGTGTCTGCTCCAAGGCGCAGAAAGAGGGTCGTATCATGATTTTTTATTGCACTTTTAATGGGAAAATTGGCCGCCCATGATTCTAATTTTTGATTTTTTTTTTTCGGATGTTTAATAGCCCCTAAGACAGCGTTACTAGATTACCTCAGTTGTGTAACCCCCGCGGAAAAGAGTACCCCCCCCCCCCCCCCCCCCCCCCTCCTTATAGCGAGTTCGTTTCACACGCACTGGCGCCGTTCGAGTTCTCTCCCAGAATGCATCGCACCCTCAGAGTGTTGCACGGAAAACTGGATTCAAACGAACTCGCCAAATGCACCGGTGGTGGTTAAACGTTTTTTTATTGATGAAAGGGTTATGTCAAGGCTTCTTGATAAATATCATCTAGCCTTGATGGGTTAGGGAATAGGGTGATGAGGGTAGGGGAATGGGAGGAAGTTAAATGATTTGAGGAAGGCCCGCCGAGCATACGTAGCCCAACCGAGAGGTTAATATTTGTTTCCTATTGACGTTGTCACTGGCCGGTCTTG